TTCCCTTTGCCCTTGACACGTTGGAGGCTCAGCCCCTGAGCCACAGCTCGAATCCTGAGTGCCTTTATTTGCTGCCAGAAGCAGAGGTGTAGATCGCTTATTGACATGCCCCTGGTGCCTGTCCACATGGATATTGCATACATACCTGACCAGGGCTGCTGCATGAAGGAGGTCCTGGAGAGGGCCATTTGTCAGAGGATCCCCATGCTTTTCTAGTTGTCTGTCTTCCCACCTCTCAGCATAGCCAGAGTTCAGCTCCTGGTGTTTAGAACAGTAGCTGTATAGAGGTAAAGGAATGGTGTATAGAGGTAAAGGAATGGTGCGGTCCTGAAGGCCAGAGGTTTTCAGTTTGAGGAGCATGTGGGGAGGGAGGATTTGTAGGCAGAGGTGGCTCAGGGCAAGACTCCCCCATGAGGAACCTCTTTGGCTGCAGCTGTGGAGAAGGAGGGGAGGGCCTTTCCTGCTCGTTGGGTGGTTTGACTGTGGTCTGTCTCCACAGGCTCCTGTCCTGTGGGATTGGCCTCAGCTGGCATGCTATTTTGGTTGTAGAGACAGGTCACTGGGGGCATCTGTAGCGCTGTTTCCTTCCAACAGAACCACTCCCTCCTAGAGAGGACAGGAATGCTCAACACAAAGGACTAAGCAAGGCTTTCAGTGAACCTTATCCTTCTGAGGCTACACCACAAGAAGGAATTGTGAGGGAGTCTTTTTTTTTTTTTTAAGATTTATTTATTTATTTTATGTATATGAGCACACTGTTGCTGTCCACAGACACACCAGAAGAGAGCATCAGATCCCATTACAGATGGTTGTGAGCCACCATGTGGTTGCTGGGAATGGAACTCAGGACCTTTGGAAGAGCAAAGCAGGGACGCGCTTTCCTGAATGCTGAGGTGGTTTCTACTGTCAACAGTTTCTGTTAGCCATGCTCCTGTAGTAGCCCCTCACCCATGTCGCTATCACTCCCCAGTAAAAGTAAGTAGGTTGCCTAGCTAGGCTCCTGTTGTAACTACTGGAAGTGAGCAGTTTGTTCCTGTCTTCCCAAGAGAAGTCATGTGACGAGGCAGGTGTGCCTCCTCCTCCTGTCACCGAGCTGTGAACTGCTTCTCCGCCTCCCTTACCATAATGAACTGACAGCAACTTCTGAAACCTGATCCAGGGTCACAGTAACAGAAAGTACCACACAGTTCATCATGACAGATAACTCCTCTCAGGAGAGACAGGCTGATGAGACTGAAGCACACCGAGGACATCGGAAGCGAAGGTGGGGGACCCAGGTGAACTGTCATCTTCATGTGGAGGCTTGATTGATGGAAATAGCTGGAGAGAGGAATCCCCATTCCGTCTGCTGAGTCCTGGGAGAAGAAGGGGTGGGGGTGGGGAGGTTCTGCTCCTGAGGCCTTTGCTTCCAGGTTTCCTGGGAAACCCTGTGTGTTGTGACTCGATTGTAGCAGGAGGTTACAGCAAGCATTGATGTCTACTTTGTTAAATAACTGCTAGGATGTGAAATCCCTAGAGGCTGCTCAGACAGCATCCCTTCCTTAAGTGACAGGCGGCAACAATGTTGCTTATAGGCACAGCTGCCTACTGCCACACTGAAAAACCCAGCAACCTCTTCATGTGAACTGTTCGGCGTCTCCCACCTTTCTGTGAATTTGCTCAATCTCAGAGTTTTGTCGGCACTGACCAGCTGTCCACCACAGCATTCTTGTTTCTATGGGAGCATGCATTCAGTGACCAACCCACTTTGGGTTGGGGGGGTGTGGTGGAGGGGAAGTGTTTGAGGGGGGTGAGTGTGAATCCAGCAGGATGTGGTCCCCATCCACAAGACAAGAGTTTGTCTGCTCTTTGCAGCTCAGCTTCCTGTTCTTCTTCCCTCAGGCTCTGTGCTGTCTCAGTTCACGTGTTAACTGTGGGTGAGGTGTGCCGTGACCACAGTGTGTAGAGATCTGAGGTTTATCCTGAAGACAGTAAATTATTTCCTGGTTACTTTTAGTTTAAATTATATCTTGAAATAATAATTTGGATACATTAAAGCAAACATTAAATAAAAAATAGTATTGTTGGAGTAAAGTACACGCAAAACTCATCACCCTGACCATTTAAAAATGTGTCACGAGGCCAGAAAGACTGCTCACAGGACCTGGGTTCAGTTTCTGGCACCCACACAACCCATAGTCGTCTCCTTCCAGGGGACCCCTACCCTCTTCTGACCTCAGTGAGTACCATGTGGACACAGTACACATATGTGTGTGCAGGAGAAACACCTATAAAACAGATCCTTTTTACTATATCAGACAATGCTGTTGTCATTATTATTTATAACACTGTGTAACTGTCACACACACGTTCACTCCCCATCTCTCCCGCCAGCCCCAGGAGTTACCGGTTGACTTGTGTGTCTATGATTTGCCCCTGTTTCATCTGTACAGTGAGTGTCCTTTGGTATCCGCCTCTCTTCCCTGAGCCTCGTGTTTCAAAGCCTGCCACCTTGACACTGTTCGAAAGCTTACTATGAAACAGTGAGCTAGCCTTCCAACAATCTAATGCAGAAATAACTTGTCTTCAGACCAGAGTGGCTGGGATAAACTTGTATTCAGGATAACTCACAGTTTAATTTCCAGTTCGTTCTGGTGATCCTGCACAGGGACACCCTAAAGTCACTTGAAATCAAAATATGAGGAAAAGCTGATTGTTAAGAGTAGAATCTATTATGTTATTTGAACATGATTGTGGGGTGAATATAGCCAAGTATGTTACGTGGTTGTATAAAAACGTCACAACAAAGCTGACTAATTTACATATCCTACATGCTAGTATGATACATAAAGGACGAATTTTAAAAATTGTTGGATGCAGTTTTTTCCTTTCCTTATAAATATACCCCCCCCAACAAACCAAACAAGCTAGGAAGCACTTTCAGTTCTCCTGACCACAATTCAACATTTTCTGTAAGTTTAAAATTATATACAGAAACCTTGGTGGCGTTTTCTGGCTCTTCATGTTCTTGGCGAAGGTGAGAAGACATCTTTGGTAGAATAAAAGCCGGGTAGAAGCAGAAATGCCTTGGGAATCCTCAGGCTTCTGCAGTTCCCAGGCTGTCAGGGTCACCTCGGCAGCTGAGGGTGAGCTCAGTATCACTTCCCCTTGCTGTGCGGTGGGCCTCTTTGTCAGGAAGACTTCACACTTACCACATGCCTACCCTCCCCGGCCCCCCACCAGCCCTCCCCAGACTCTTGAGGGACTCAGCATCTTTCTTTTGTGCCTGGCCTGCCTTTTCACTCTCCCCCACTCCCTGCCCCAGGTCCTTGAGGTTCATCTGTGTCGTAGCATGGGTTGGAACCTCCTTTTGAAAGGCTATGTACTACGCCATATGTCTGTACTGATGGGATCTGGGGTCAGGTCTGGTTGGCTGTGTGGGTGGGCAGATAAGGCCTGAGGATTCTTTCTGAATTCTCTCCCATGTATATTCAGAGAGAGATTGTGGGATCCTAGGACAGATTCATCCATGCAGTCTAGGCAATGCTTGCCATTTGTTTTGTTTTTTTTTCCCTCCTTTTGCCAGAGCAGCAGGAATTTTGAGCTGGGCAAGTCCTTTTATTAGAGTGGACCCTCTTATCCCTTCCTCTCCTCCCTCTCCACTTCCAGGTAAAAGAAACACTTCTCTAGAAAAGCCTCTTCCTGGTAGAGGACTTTTACCACTTTGGGGGCTTCTCTGCCATCACCCACATTATTCCTACAGCAAGCACCGGGATTGGCTGCATTTCACTCTCGGCACAGGGTCCCGCATTGCTCAGGAGGCTGTATGTCTTGTGACCTTTCCTCTGCTCAGGCCTCAGGGACTGTAAAGGCTGTGTCACAGGGGGTTCCAGAGGACATGGGAGGGGACAGAGGGAGGCGCTGGCAGCTTATCAATGGAGAACAGATGAAAATGTCTGTTTTGAGCAGTGTGTTGATTAGTAGAATATTCCTCTGTTGGAGATGCTGCAGTAGGAAACTTTCATGGTGCCCCCAAGCGTATTTATCTCTGTGTGGGAGTATGGAGGCTGGGGGTGTGGCTGGGGCAGATTTCCTGTGAACTGGAGATCCTGGGATACAGGGGTTGTGGTTCACATCCATATCTGAGAGCCCCAGAACCAGGAAGACAGTGATGCCATTCTCAGCTGTTCATGGTAGCCCTGGAATCCGGAGGCCAGCCTGGAGCTCTAGAGTCAGCTGTGGGAGCATGCGCCATGTCCTGTACGCTCTCCACAGCACCGAGCTCGCTGGATGGTACCCTCAAAGCGGGTGGATCTTATTCTCTCAGGATACAGGTCCTGCCAGGATGCAGGATCAATACTCAGAAGCACATGAGCGTGTCTCCTTAATCCTGTCACAGTAATGCCGAAAATTAAGTCTCACAGGTGTAGCTCATAAAACTTGCCTTGCTCAGGTTCCTAGCCACTTGCAGGGCAGCTGCTGAGAGCCTACTGTCTGGAGTGTGTCTGGTGTGTTAGCATTTGTGTTTCTTCTTTAGGAATTCTGCTAATGAGCCACTTGGAACAAGCTTTCCTTAGGCCTAGATGTCTGTCTCTTGCCAAGGGATAATGGCCTGTCCAGCTCTTAATGCAAGGGCAAGCGAGTAGCTGCATGTATGACGACGTAGCCAGGGTTGTCAGACCCAGGGTCCTAATTGTGTGCTACCTTGTCCCTACCTCATGGCAGGGGCGCAGGGGCGCAGGGGTGCAGGGGCGCAGGGGCTACAGCTGAGGTTGCTGCTGAGTGAGTCTGTGGCTTGGAACAGGAAGAAGTTATGCCTGCCAGGGAAGGATGTCCGGGAACTGGGATTGGGGCATTGCTTTGATTACTCCTGGGGTGGCTGGAAAACACTTCCTTCAGTATGGATGGAGATTACAGCGGAGCATGGCTCCCCTATGCCTGGCCGAGCTGCTGCTGGCTAGGTGCTGTCCCCTCTGCTGACACATGCCCTGAAGGCTGAGTTGAGTTTGTCTTCCTTGCAGGCGATTTTAGTGAGTAATATCACCACAGGCGAGAAGCTCATTCGAGACCTGAAAGGTAAGCCCCTCCACACCCCCACCCGCCTCCAGTCCAGCAGCTGCCTCAAGGAAGAGCCAGCCTGGCCCAACTCCCATGAGGGCCTCAGGTGGCTCTGTCACTGTACTCTCATGTTAGAAGTTATTGAGCCATCGTTAATGTATTATTTACCCACCCGTCCTTATGAAATATTACTGTGTACATTACAGGTTATGACGGATATAATTCAGTCCTTTGGTTTATGGATCTTTAAGAAATACTGGGATGGCGTGTGCTGAGGGTGGGGCACTACTGTTTGCAAGACCTTAGGTTCAGTTCCCACCAGCAAATAAGTAATGAGTTTGGATGAGTAGTACTCAATACACCAAGACTCTGGGTACCAACCTGTGGAAGGTCCCACACCTGACCTCAGGCCAAGGCCAGAAGGCACAAACTTAGTTAAAACTTTGTTTAGAGTTATCTCCAAGCCGTGTATGTAAGGCACACATTGGGTCTGGTGAAAGTCGCAGCAGGAAAAGGCACTTGCTGCTAAACCTGATGACCTGAGATTGATCCCAAAATCCACATAGTCAAGGAGGGGATGACGCTGTCAAGCTGACCTTTGACCGCCACACATGCACAGTGGAGCAAGCATACACACACATAAGAAAACTAATGATCAAGATGCTCTAATTGACATTTTTAATTGGATCAAGGTGCAGGCTTCTGTGGGAGAGCTTCTGATATTGGTGGTGTGCCAGCAGGGTGGGACTGCCTCTTCCTCTCTGCTTCCTGTTCCGGTTGTGCTGGCTTGTGGTTCTGTTGTGGGTTTTTTTGTTTGTTTGTTTGTTTGTTTGTTTGAGACAAGATTTCTCTGTGTAGCCTTAGCTGTCCTGAAACTTGCTCTGTAGATCAGGCTAGCTTCAAAATCACAGAGCCTGCCTCTGCCTCTTCAGTGCTAGGATTAAAGGCGTGTACTGCCACTACCAGAGTAGATTCCTTTTGTGTCATGTGTGTCTGAGTGGCATGATAGCCACACAGAGACCAGTGAGGTGACTTCTCCTTTTGGCTTAGACCAGTTGAAGGAGCTTCAGAGGAGTTATGGCAGGCTGCAGCAGGACATCTTCCAGTTCCAGAAGAACCAGACCAGCCTGGAGAAGAAGTTCTCCTATGACCTGTGAGTGTGGCCCAGTGGGGTGGTGGGGGATACCTTGTCATGTGTAGCATGCGAGCAGGGACTCCAACTTCTGAGACTCAAGTCCTCTGAAAAATCAGTGTCCTATTTGATTATACTTAGATAAATCTAAGCCGGCAGGGCTCGTTATACAGAGTAAGTAAGGAAAGGTACATTTGTGTCCATGCCCGAAAATGCTCACATGGAAACATAGACGTGCACGTGCACACGCATACACACAAGCAGGCCTCAGCAGCGCATGAACTGTCACTCTACATTAACATTTATAAACTGAAGCACAGTTGTACCACTTTGGCAATCTGAACACTTTTAAAAATGTCAGGTGTGAACTGGAGGCGTGGCTCAGTGGCCAAGAGCACTGGCTGCTCTACCAGAGTACCTGTGTTCAGTTCCCAGCACCCACATGGTAGTAGCTCACAAACATCTGTAACTCCATTTCCAAGAGACCTGATGCTGTCTTCAGACCTCTGTGGGCTCCTGTACACACACGGTGCACATGCATACACTCAGGTACATACGCATTAAAATAAGTATTTTTCTTAATGTCAAGCATGAGCTGAAAAAAAAAAAAAACGCCTAGAGTATTGTGGCAAGATATTCACAGGCCGTTGCTGATGTTGGTGTGGCAGGTGGCTCATTGCCTTGAGAATTTTCCACATTTTACAGGGAGAGTGGAGTTTAAATGAACAGTGAAGCTTTAAAAGGTAGGCCACACCCACTGGGAAGACAGTAAAGGACAGATCGCAGAGTGGAGCCTAAAGCCACCATCTGTTTAGTTTTCCACCAGTGTAGAGAGCGCATTCACGTGTCGCACAGTAACTGGGTAGCGCTGAGCATTGCACCAGTGGGCAGGGGTTCTGTATGAACACTGAGGTGGCTGCAGTCTCCCTTGTCCTGGCTTTTCTCCAGGCTAAGACGTTGCTATGAATAGCATGACTACTGCTGTTATGACTACAACTTCGGATGACGAGCAGACACTCAGCATCAGGGGACATGACTGACTGGACTGTGAAACTGTGCCGACCTTGTGCCTGTCCTTCAGATACTCAGATACTAGGCAGTATGTAGAGACATTTTACTCAGACTTGAGGGAGAGTGCTGCTGGAATCCAGTGAATAGAGACTAAGACACTCAAATGTTCACACTGCCAAGATAACTTCCCACAACCAGTTTGTGTCTAGCCCCAAACATTCTCAGTGAGCTTTGGAAACAGACCTAGTGAAGAATTACATGTGTCAAATGCCCTAGTCTTATAAACTCTAAAAGCCTGTAGCCAACACTTCCCCCAGTTCACTAGCCTCACTTGGTAAGTGTTGACCCAAGATTTCAACCCATCGGAAGGCAGCCATGGGCCAACGGAGAAGCCTGTGCAGTTTCAGCATAGGCAGTGTCTCTGGTGCTGCCCTGGGTTGTGTTTCATTTTGAAATGGGTCTTCCTGTGTAGCCCAAACTAGCCTCAAGTTTGTATAGCTCAACACTGGCTGGAACTCACGATCTTCTCTGACTCAAGTGCTTGGATCACTCTACAGTACTTCCTAACGGCTTCCATGGAGACGCTTGTTTCTAAGAGGTGAGCAGCTTCGATGGTAGGTCTTTCTGACTAAGTGTCTGCCTCACTGGTTGTGCTTAAGGACCCTGCTGCAGATGCAGGAAGCTCTTGGAAGTAATGGCCAGAGACTGATGGAAGCTAGAGACAGCTGTCCTTAAGTGCCTTAAGTGTCTGTGAACTAGAAACAAGATGTAAACACCTTGTTAGCAGATCTGTAATGTGCATGAAACTGTACGCTGAACTGAGAGCCCCTCCAGGCATGCCTGCACACCTCTGTCTATTTCTGGGATTGCTGAGGTAGCCACAAGTGAAGGCTTTCTCCCCTCCACTTGCACAAGTTAGTGCCTTTCTGGGGATCAGCAGGCATCTCACGTGGCTGTTCTTCCTGGCACACACAACTGAGTGATCACTGCACTCATAAACGCAGCCTTCCTTGCCTTTTTGATCTCTGCTCCTCTTGGCACTATGAGGGAGCAGCTGGCAGTGCCGGTGTTGGAGTGCTGCAGTGACAGTCCTGGTCCTGTGTGACACCGGCACGGTGATGAGTTCCTGTGCTGGGTGTAGAGAGTAGTACTGTGGCCACAGTCTGCACTACCCAGAGTGCCATTAATGCCTAGAGTTGTGCACCACTCGAGTTTAGCCAGTTAATCCCCGAGGATGTGCTTTGGACACACACATGAAAGAGCCAGCCCAGGACCTCCCAGGAGTTCATGCTGGCCTAGTCGACATTGTGTGTCAGGATCTAGGCCCTACACTGAGCGGTCTGTTCATTCCTCCTGCTGCTTTTGAGACGGAGTGTGGGGGCAGGGATACCACTACATTCCTGAGAGGTGGAGGAAGGCCCTTCCTGCTGACTTCTGTAGCGTTGAAAGCAAGTGAAGGTGGACACTCCTCTTTGTAGGGATGCAGGTTCAGTAGAAGATGGCCTGCTGCTCATTCCTTAGACAGCTAAGTTTCTTTACTCACTGTGGCCATCCCCTTATGATAGTCTACCACCTGGAGCTTGACGGACCCCGGCAAGTTTGCCAGTGAAATTTTTACTTATTCCTTATCTGTTCAAGTTTCCCGTTATCACAGGATTGCCTTCTGCGTGTGGAATGTTGTGATCCAGTGATGCTTTGTATATGCTCCAAGTTATAGACTGAGGCTCCAAAATGCTGCTAACTCAGGCAAGGCTGCCCGGTGTCTTCTGGAAACAGACTTGAGTCTGTCTTATGGCCTAGCTACAGCAGGCAACAAGGACCTCCTAGTGTTCCCATTTTCTAAGCAAGCAGTTTCAGTCTGCCTCTGCCCTTTGACGGAATGTTCCACATTCCAGGTGGAAGGTGGTGCAAGCCTGCAGTGCATCTCAGTTGAAGGTCTTTGACAGCTAGGTGTTCTCCAGTCAGTCTGGATGCTGCCCAGAGGTCATTCACATGCCACAGGTTTAGGACTCAATTTCCTAAGGCTGCTCCACGGGCCAGCCACACACTGGACAGTTTACAAACTCAGGGCTACCAGACGAGCTCCTTGGTAATTCACCATAGCCACTCACAGAGCCCAGGACAGCTCTCTTTACTATCAGTTTCATTACAAAGGGTGTCATGGTGAACACCCACCAATAGTTATAAGGCAAGGTCTGAGGAGGCAGAACTGCCGTTTCCCATGGAATCAGGGAATTCTTGATTCTCTATGTATTTTTACCAGCCAAGAAGCCGTCAAAGCTCAAGGCCCAGAGGTGGTAGCTGAGGTTGTTATGTAGGCAATGATTGATGACATCATTGGTCATATGATCAAGCCCCACCTGCAGGCCCCTTCACCTAGGGGGTGGAGCTGAATATTTCAGTTCCTATCCTGAAAGGTGCAGCACCCCAGCACTTCACCCCATGAGCCATCTTATCAACATCACTACAAGTCTGGTCCAAGGAGCTCATGGATGAAGATGCTCTGAACACCAGGAAATCAAAAGGGTTTTAGGAACTTGTATTGGCAGCCATTTTCTTTTTTTTTTGATAAAGAGAAGGGGGCAGGGTGGGGTTGTTTAATGCAACGTAACAAGTCTAAATTGTGGTTACTAGCAGGTTTCTTCTGTCATCCAGTTCTTATAGATGGACACTTGCTCTTGCAGTTCACTTTCAGACCATGTCCTGGTGGGAAAGGGCTCTTCTGTCTCCTGCTGCAGTGGATTGTGGGATCAGGGACTGAGTGCTTGGGACATCCACACATCCTTGCATTTGCCTTCACCAGGAGCCAGTGTATCAATCAGATGAAAGAGGTGAAGGAGCAGTGTGAAGAGCGGATAGAAGAGGCCATCAGAAAGCGAAATGAAGCATTAGTTTCCAGAGATGTGGCCGAAACAAACGACCAACATCAGCAGGTAATTTGGGTCTGCTCTGGCCTGGGCTTCCAGGAGGTACTCTCTCCTCTCCTCACCATTTTGTTTTGTGGGTTTGGTTCCCTGTGGTACAACAGAACAAAGCCTGGTGCCAGAATGTCCATACCCAAGCAAGATGCTGGGTACTGGACCCCAAGCTCGGAGCGTTGTCCTTTCGAGTCTCAGCCCCTGTGGAAGGAGCTTATGCTGTCTGGCTTGAGCACTTTGAGGTCACGATGTTAAATTCTGTGGCCAAGGTCAGCCTGGTCAGTGTAGAGCCCATAAGAATATTCCCACTTTCTTCTGATAATTAGAGAATTATGTTTTCAAAGAATGAGTTCTTTTTATTTTAATTAAGTTATAAACTAATTCATATATCTTTTCTTCTACTTACTTTGACTTTGGATTTAACTGGCTGATTTGTTCCATAGCTTCTGAAGGTATAGTCTTGATTCTTGGATACAGATCTTCCTTTCTCATGTATGCACTTAGTGCTACAAATATTGTTTTTAAAAAGCATTGCCTATACATGCCAGTAAATTGTCCTCATTTATATTTACCAAGACATTATTACTTATTTATATTTTATTTTCATTTTTTGAGACAGAGTCTTACTATATATATAGTTCTGTCTGTTCTGGAACTCACTATGTAGACCAGGCTGGTCTCAAACTTACAGAGATCTATCTGCCTCTGCCTCTGCCTCCCAACTGCTGGGATTAAAGGCATGATAAAAATATTCTGAAATTTGAGACTTTGACTTTAACCTATGTGCTACTTAAAAGTATAGATCGGACTCTCCACTCATTTACAGATTTCCCAGCTATCTTTTACTGAACAGAAGAGCAGACATGGCATGGTTCCTAGTAAAAGCTTGCTAAGATACAGTTTTAGCCTAGAATGTGGTCAGTGTTGGTGAGCATCCCTTGTGAGGCAGGTATTTTCCTTCTGGCTTTCTTAGAAATTTTAATTTTCCTATAGTTTGAAATGATAGTTTTGTCCTGCTCAATGTTTTCTGAACTCTCACAATCTATAGTTTGGTGTTTGACATGAATTTGTAGGATTTTTTTTAAATTTTATGTACGTATGAATACAGTGTAGCTGTCTTCAGACACATCAGAAGAGGGCATCGGATCTCATTACAGATGGTTGTGAGCCACCATGTGGTTGCTTGGGATTGAACTCAGGACCTCTGGAAGAGCAGTCAGTGCTCTTAATCACTTTATCTTATCCAGGTCTGATCATTACATATGTGGGACACTCTGAAGTTGTCTTAAGATAAGGGCTGCCATATATGGCCACCCTCCTACCGTGAACATGAGGGATCCAGGGAGGCCATAAGGGGTCTTCTCTGTAGTTGTCCAACGTCCTTGGGATTTTGCTTCATTGTTTGCAGGCTTTGTTCTTGTCTTTCACTCTTGTAGATTTCAATTTTATCTCTAAACTTGGGAAACTGTCCCTCCTCCATAGCTAGTTACAGGGACCCGTGGAAACCCAGGGTAGCTTTCCACGACTCCCACCCCCACCCCCCATATCCCGAGAAAGTCCACGGGTTCCAAAGCTTTATTGTTCATGGTGTGTGATAGGTGGTCTAGATGCATACCCCCCAGTTAAGCCAGGGGAGAGCTTAAAGAGAGGGACTGAGAAAAGGAATAACATAATTTAGCTACACCCTCCAGCCTTTAGGTAACTCATAAATATGGAGATCTCTCGAGGCTGAAGCCTGTAGTCACGCCCTCTACCTGTGTGTGGATGGTGATGCAAAGCTCTCTGGGAGGGGCTGCTTAGCCAAATGTGACTGCAAGACGCAGGTTAAATGGAGGTCTAGACTGTGGATAGGAAGGAGCCTGGATCCTGGGGGTGTGGCCGAACACCTGCCCTTTCTCCATGGGAGGTGGGGTTCAAGGCCCATGCCCAGCCAAGAATCAAGATATCCTTCCACGGCCCGACAGCTAGTCTACACACAAGCATACCGAAAGCTTTATCTTTATGTATGTTCAGAATCTTTTTCTCAGTATTTCTATCTGCCTCCTTGTCTGTTTTTCGTATCTACTTCCCACACTGGGGCTTCCTGTTCTATATCCATGCCCTGGTAAGTTTGCTGTCACTGTGTGGCTGATCTTGATGCTTCTTTTCTGTCTCCAGATTGGTTTTTGCCTCACAGGATGCCTTTTTCTTGGCCATGAGCTAGGATATGCCAGGTAAAAGGAACAGCTGTAAGTAGGCTATCTAGCATTGGTTGGTAAGGTATGACAGAGGGGAGATGGAATTCTTTAGGGCTAGAAGTAGGTATTAGCCTGTGTTTTGGATAAAGTCCCCTGCTTCTCAAACCCAAATGGCAGAAATGGACTGAAGTTTGACAGTCCCCTTCCTTCACCTCAGTTAGCTTCTGAGAGTAACCCAAGGGGAATGGACATCACTGTTCAGTCATCTTGGAATGTGTTCATTTCCGTACATTTGTGACTTAAAGTTCCATTCCATGTAACAGGAGAATGTATTCTGCATGGTACACAATACAAGTAAGATCCCATGGACAGGGTGGGCATGTGCAGTGCCAGGCTGAGTGCTTTAGATATTTGGCCAGGTAAGTTGGTTTGTTGAATGCTTACATGTTCCCCTGGCTTACTTTCTGTAGGACCTGGACTTACCCACAAGTCTCCTGATCTATGCCATGTGACAGGGCATCATTGGGAAGATGGTGGTGTCTTGAGTTTAGGGGTTCTTACTTATTAGTGAGGGTCCCATGAGCTACTCTTTCAGTCCTGTGCTTGTTTCAACTCCAGGCCCTCAAGCCTCAGCCCAAGCTTCAGGAAGTAGTCCCATTAAAGGAACAGAAGCCACAAGAGCAAGAAGATGTGCCCAGAAACAAGTCCCAGATACCAGCCCCCGATTCAGAGGGGCGGGGTTTGAAGCCACAGGTGCAGAATGGTAAGTGGAGACATTGGCTTATAGTCTCCAAAATCAAGCAGCAGTGTGTGGTCTTGGGCAGTACAGATACTGACGGTTGAGCACGGCTTGAGGCAGCAGAGAAGGGGTGAGCGGCTGGCTGGTGCTCTTTCTCTTGGGGCCCTGGGATAGGGGCTACAGGCTTCTACTCTGTCTTACTAACAGTTTGTCCTTGTCAGCTGTGTGAGTACAGATACAGAAGGTCTCTTCATTTAGGTTACCAGGGGCATTATGGGACTGAAGGGCAGAGACAGAGTCCTGGGTGGCTGGTGTACCTTGGGCTCCAACAGCTTGAAATGATTCTAAGAGCCTAGCACTCTGCCCTCGGGGATGTCAGGATACCCAAGTCGGTGGTATTTTCTGATTATTTTGTTTAGTTTTGAGACAAGGATCTCTCTATAATGTAGCTCTGGCTGTCCTGGAACACTCTATGTAGACCAAGCTGGCCTCGAACTCACTGAAATCTACCTGTCCCTGCTGAGTGCTAGGATCAAAGGCATTCGCCACAACACCAGACACTTTCCTGTTGTTTAATCTGAAGATGACCTGGTCCAAAGCCTCTGGTCTGTAATGGAGATCAAAACACAAGTTCCCAGCTATCCTGAAGTACGGAACTCACCCCAGAGCCACTCTTTCTAGGGATGTAAGGAATCCAGAGATGACACTGTTTTGTTTGGTTTTTTGAGATAAGCTCTTGTGTAGCCCAGGCTGACCTCAAACTCCCTGTGTAGCTAAGGCCTTGAACTAACTTTGCTGCCTTCATCCCTACATCCTCCTGGGGCTACAGGTATCCTCCAGGCACTCTTTACAGTTAATGATACCAGTTTTTTTTTTTTTTCTATTTTGTCTGAGGTAGGGTCCGAGGCTGGCCTCAAAGTGACTATGTAGCCAAAGCTGGCCTCTGAACTCATCTTCCTGCCTCTACTCCTTAAGTGACAGGATGACAGGTGTTTATTCCACACTCTGTCATTTTATTTTTGTTTTAGGTAAAGGTCCAATAGCCAGGTATGGTAGTGCACACTTTTAATCCCAGCACTCACCATGGAGGCAGAACCAGGAGGATCTTTGAGTCAAGGCCAGCCCGGTATACAAAGCAGGTTCCTAGATAGCCACCAGTGATACACAGAGAAACCCTGTCATGGAAAAATAAAAAAATGTAACAAAACAATAACTCCCCCTCCAAGGCCCCCAAAGAATGTTCTTACAATCATACCTATGTTCTGTGTACAGAGGAAACCAATGAGATTCAGGTTGTCAGCGAGGAGCGTGCTCTGCGACTGATGAAAGCATCCGTCCAGGGGCAGGCGGGTGTGAATGGCACCCATGTGGGAGCCAAGAAACTTGATGAGAACGCACAGGCACCATTGGCCCTGATGGTCAGGCCTGAGGAGGATTCTCAGTATCCTGAGCGGGAGCAGCTTGTCATCCATGATGGCCAGGAGCAGCAACACGCTGCTGAGGAAGGTGGGTGGTTCTGGGTCCCCAGGCTTGGGCTTGTTAGCATGTCTTCCATCACACAAGTGGCCTTGTTCACTCCTTGGTATGTTCATTATCAAGAGAATAATGTTGACGGCAGTGGGACTTCCAGGGTGTACGCACGTTGAGATGGGTTGCTTCCTGCCAGGGGGACAGTCACTTGTCTGTTTCCACCTGCTTATGTGCCAAAGTACTGAAGGAAGACATGATGGATGATGGATGTTATTGCATTTGAGGAACAGTGACTTGCGAAGTTCACCTTCCCTTCCCTCTTTACAGAGTGGGGTCTTGGTTCAGCTAAGTATCCTGTGTGTATTCGGTTGCCTTAGAGATGGGACCTTTCCATCCTTCGGAGCCAGGAGCTCTCATGGCCCCTGTGTTCCTGGCTAGACCCATTAACAGTGTTGAGGAAGCATGTCTAATTCTTTCCGTCTTTCTTGGAACAGTGTCCTCTGTTGTTTTAGATAAGGGTGCATTTTATCAGCCTCCTACTGAGTGTCACTGCTCAGGACCCTGCTCCACAGCTACAGCAAAAAGATGCTCCCAAGGGGAGGGAGGGACCCATTCTGGTGGCACTCAAGTGTCTGACTACTGGACATGAAGTGTAACGGCTGAACGTAGACACAGGCTCCCAGGCCTGTGTGGTGTACTGCTTCCACATGCATGAGCAATGACCTCCCCTGGAGTGTAAACAGATGTAACTGCTTTGTGCTGCTTCCACGGCAGAGGGAAAGCAGAGTAGATTTTCCAGGCCTCCCCATATACACACACTTCACTCTTTTCAGAGAATCCTGTGATCTTGTCTTCATTCTGTGATTTTTCCTGGTTGCTCTTTTCTGCAGAGCAAAAAACATGGTTGTGAACAGTCGAATCCTGTATGTGAAGTGGGGCACAGTAGTCACCCTCCCCTCTCTTGGAGTCATTCCGAGAAGCCACTGCTTGCCATTCCACCGTTCCCGTTTCCTCAAACTGTGGTGCTTTTTCTCAATCTTGTTGATTGCCCTTCTCAAAAAGGCATTTAGTTTCTTCATTTTCAGATGGAATTGTGGCTTATTTAGGATTGTGTGTATGTTAGGAATAAAGCCCACAACTTTTGTGTGCTAGGGTTCATTCAACAGAGCTGAATTTTATAGCCTCAGTGCTGAAGGGGTACGTTTCCGGTACTTTCCATGGCATTTGTCTTGGTAGTACCATTAGTCAGGCTCCTTTCTGAGGTACAGGTTGGGTGACAGCTTGTACTGGTGCTGGCGTTCCAGTGCCATCAAGACTAAAATGAAGCTATGTGTGTCTGGTGTGTTGGTTTTACAGGGGGAGGCCAGCAGAACCTAGGAGAGGAGTACAACCTGGATGAAAACGAAGCAGAGTCTGAGAGGGAGAAGCAGGCAGCCCTTGCAGGGAGTGACAGAAATATAAATGGTAAGAACAGTGGGATGTGGGAGCAGTCACCTTTCTTTTTCCTTTTCTTTAATTAGTACTGATAATCACACTCTAAGTAGCTGTCAGTTCAGGGAAACTATGTTCTTTAGAAGACCTGCAAAGTGGGGTAGTGGTAAGCAGGGTTAAAGCAAAGATGACCCAGAAATCACAGGGCTTGCTTTTAGTGATTTAGGGCTTTTCCAACAAGATGCCCAGGGGTCCCCGGAGTCATTCCACACTAGGTGTTGGTACAGTCATTAGATTCTCTGTTAACTGCCTCTGAACGAGTTTTCTATGTGAGCTGGCTAGAGAAACTCATGCAGGATGTCTCTGACGAGGCTCCTTCCTGTTCCGACTCCTTAAATGCACGGCAGCAGCACTGTGCTGACCCGGAAGTGAATGTATCACTCTGCCTTTCTGGGCTGCGTACGGCACAGTGGCACAGTGAGCGCCCACCAGTCCCCACGTCTCTCTGTGGAGTTTATGCATCTGCTCTGTAATCCATGCGCTTTCTGCAGCTTGGCTTCCTGCTTCCTGTGGTGCTGCAGCTCTGAGCGCTAGTTTTCTTCTGTGGCTTTCAGGTGACATTTGCTTGCTACACAGTGCCTAACTTCTGGACATGCTCTTCAGTTCTTTTATGACATAAAGCATGGTGAACTAATAAAGCATGCAGCTGCCCATGGCTAGACAAGATGTGTCCTGTCCTGCTGTCCCACTTGTTCAGGTGGCTTTAGGAAGGAGTGTGTTATTAGTGCTGCCCTTTCAAGGAGGCCTCACGGCACAGGGGGCTGTGCTATGTCACCACTCAGCTTGGTCTTGTGACAGAGTATCTGTGGTGTCTTTTGCTCTCGATGGGGCACAGTTCCAAGCGGCAATGCTGCTGTGGAAGGTGAAGTTCTCTTTATGACAGCTGTAGAAACTGGCATGAAGACAGACCTGCCCACACCGTTTCTCCAACACGCTTAGTACTGAAATACTGTTTTTGCATTTTTAGTTCTTAATGCTGAAGCTCAGAAGAGAGACATAATACATTTACCTGCTGGGAGTGAAAAGCAGAGTCTCAGCCTAAATCAAGTGGGAGTCCATATTCCTCCACAAGCCTGAAGAGACAGCCTACGGAGATTCACCCGTGACTCGACTGTGAAATGTACCAAGTAAAACGAACAGTGGCCAATGATTATTATGGGGTGTAATCAGTACCTTTTAGCAAAGAAAAAAATGGGACTATCTCAGACAGTCTCGGGTAGTTTTAAAGTGTCTACAAAAGATGTCAAAATTGGTCAAGCTTTCTTGATGAACAGGTATTTCTTGAGCAGGTCAACACCAAAAAGAGAAATGAGGTTGTCCTGTGTGGGCAGCAGCATCTCATCATCCTGCAGTGTAACAGTAGACTGAGGGCAGCTGCTGGCAACAATGGCTCCCTTCTCATGCTGTTGCTTGCCAGTATCTGCCCACTGGTACTAAGCAGTCCATCACTCCTGCACACACTTGATTCCACCATCAATGGCCTAGAGCTCTTATTGTCAGCCTCAACACAAAGCTGTTCTGTACAAACAAATACATTAATTAAAAGATAGCCACTGCACCTGGCTTACTTCAGCATTTAGAAGGCTGAGGCAGGAAGACTGCTCCAAGTTCTGAGCCAGCTTAGAGCTACATAGTGAGTTCCAGGCTAGGATGAACAAGAAAGCAAGCCCCTGTCTCAAATGTGAGTGAGAGTTGTTGTTTTTAAGACTATTCTTTTGATGTACAGAACACTATTAAGTTACTCACAATGTGAGCACCTATGGTCTGGGCAAAGAGTTTATTTCTAGTAAGTCACACATCTCCCCCAGAAGGGCAGTGCCAGCATCAGGCTCTGAACAAGGCTGCATGGACAGTCAGGGCAAAGGCCTGGACACTTACGTCTACACAGGCCTAAGTCCAGGAAGGGCTGGCTGCTGGAGGACACCCAGGTTACAAGCTGGATACCTACAAAGGCAAGAGCAACACAGGAGTTCTCTCCCCCTGTGGTTTATATACTGTTTGAAAAACACACAAGGTTCATTTTAGCTATGAAAGACTTGTAGTTCATTGATGATAATGTGGTAATGCGTCGTAAGTTCTTGATTCTGATCAGTAACCAATTGCAGATTGACTGCAGTCACACTGAGGACTCCTTCCAGAAATGATCTCTCTGAAGAGTGGAACAGTACTCAGGGTTGGTGTGACTCGGAAGTGCTGGTTAAGTAGGAAGCAGCAGCACTAGAGGCATAGAGCAGCACCTAGTGCCTGCCTTCTGTGGGGGGGTGAAGATTCCTGCAGTGAAGTGGATGCCCAGGTGGTGGATCTGTCCGGTTCCCACTATGCCTATTTATAAGCACACATTTAAATACCCGTGGCAGACGTGGGTTGCCTCACTGCAAAGCCAACTAGATCTGGTGCTCACTGCACCCAGATCTGACGTACAAGCCCTTGTTTAGATGGATACCGTCCAATGTCACAAGTCATTTTCCTTCACACTTACTAACTTGCCTGAGCCTCAGATGTACTGTGTTCTTACCATACACCTTTTCTACTCCTAGGTCCCAAGCTCAAGGGGACCTTGTACTTTCTAGGGCTTGTTTTCTATCTTAAATTGGTTTTGGATAAAGTGTAGATATTGCTGACAAGTTGTGCTGATTTCCTTTTTACAAGTAAAATAGTTAAGGACCACACTCTGCCCTCTGGATCCTAAAATCCCAGGGTGCCTAATATCCATGCTTGACAGTTGAGTCAGACCACCTCTGTACTGACAAGGAAGTAAGCAACATCCTGTCTTCATGAGCATCTTCATCAAGTTCAGTCAGGCATGCTTCGCAGTGTTTCTAGGAAATGGAAGGTGTCACAGGGTTGGGCTAGGCATAGCTCTGTGAGAGCTTCTGCCTAGTATGTGTGAGGCCCTGGGTTGCATCCTCAGCCAAACAGTGTCACATTAGAGTTAGGCCACTGAAATCTTAGGATCATTTTTGCTGCAAGACAAATGAACTACCACTAGTCTTAGACCAAACCACAAAGCCAGATTGAATTTCAGGGTAGCTCACTTTGCTAAAAGCACTGCCCCTTCCCAGTACAAAAGGGAAACCCCACAGGCTTAGACAGCTGTCACAGCACACCAGTGAAGAGACCAGCAGAGGAATGAGCAGCAAATCAAGGACTCCAAGCCTCTGGCTGGTGGAGCAAGAACGAAGCCTGCCCTTCAGTACACTTGGAACTTCAACAAAGGGCTGCACAAGTTCAGACAAGACCCACCCGCAGCCCAGCAACCTGCACTCCAGCCTGCTGACAGCAGCGCAGACACTGCGGTGTGGTGCAGCTCTCCTGTAACTGCATGACTACAGACCCTTACAAATCTGTGCCACAACATAGTCGGTCCTCATGTACTTTAGCAATCCTCTTGCCTCACAATCAATTTGTAATTTGACCAGAATCTAAATCCTTAATAAAGCTCATGGTCTGAAACTTCAATTTTTCAGGCTGTTTGGTGTTTAGAACTTGCCTCGTGTGTACCAGGCTGGCCTCCAAACAGTCCACAGCTGAGGGAAACCCAAGCCTGACCCTGCTGCCTAAGAGCTGGGATTAAGGCTCACAGGGCTGCACTCGGGTAACTCGGATGGCAGCGCATTTGTTTTGTCAAGAAATTTATTAACCTTTACAAACACTATTTCACTCAATCATTCATTAAAAAAATGTTTTACAATTAAGTCTGTAATAAAACCAGTAACGTCCACCAATGCATTCCAGCCCAGTTACACCCATGGAGTATAATAAACCACTTTAAAACAGCAGTTTTCATTCTCGCCAGGTACGGGTGTTAAACTGAAAAGTCTTTCTTGTAACAAGCTGTCATTCAAGAAATCCACTTTACGTCACCATATGTGGCAGACTGATGTATCCCCTAGAGTGGACATGGTCATCTTTGCAGTCTCTTTCAAACCAGTTTCACAACAGGGAAGTATTTGTGAACAGAGAAGTCAAATTCGGGAGGAACCTACAAAGAAACCCAGAAAGTCAATGAATACATGTGCATGGTTTGACCCAGTGTACTTTAGACTTCATGTATTTCAGAAATAGAGCAGTACAATAGAAACTGGTGTAATAGCAGCAGACAGGGAAAGAAATGAGGAAGGAGTTTCTCCTTTAAGATCAGAAAACACCCATGGCCAGCTGCTTGTTCAGAGAAAGTTAAAGGAAACTGGACCTCAGACACGGTGCTCAGCCGGGTCAGTATGCAGCACAGTTCAGCTTTAGGGTAACAAGTAAGAGGCACAGGCCTCACAGCTCCATCAGGGCCGGCCTGAGACAAGTCAGATCTTCCCTATCAGTGTCATGTCTTCTCAGGGTTTAAGTCTCCGGGACGGGAAATGGCTGAGTTGGTACAGGGTTTGCAGTGCAAGCATGAGAACCTGAGGCCTGATTCCCAGCACCCGTGTTAAAAGCTGAGCATGACAGCACATGCCTAGAGCTCCTGTGCTGGGGAGGTGGAGACAGGCAGGTCTTTGGGGCTCGCTGGCCAGCCAGTTTAGCTGAATTAATTGGTGAGCTCCAGGTCCAGTGAGCCATGTTTCAAAAACTAATAAAGACTGAGTGAAAATGTATCCATTCTGAGGATACACCCAATCCCCCGAGTGAAATGCCCGCTGCTTATATGCATGCACACGTGCACACGTAGCTCCTAGCTTATATGCATGCACACGTGTATATGTAGTTCCTAGCTTATATGCATGCACACGTGTATATGTAGTTCCTAACTACCTGTGGTGGTTTGAATAGCACTGGTTCCCATGGACTCATGTGTGCGAACTCTTGGCCATAGGGAGTGGCACTATTAGAAGAGGTAGCCTTGTTGGAGGAAGTGTGTCAGTGTGGAGGTGGGCCCAAGTCTTAAGCTCAAGTCTGGCCAGTGTGACAGCCTCTCCTTGTGGCCTGCATATCAAGACGTAGAACTCTCAGCTCCAGCACCCTATCTGCCTGCACATTGCCATGTTTCTCGGCAAATGATGGGCTAAACCTTTGTAACTGTAAGCCAACCCCAATTAAATGTTTTCGTTTATAAGAGTTGCTGTGGTCATGGTGTCTCTTCACAGCAATAAACCCTAACTAAGACACTACGGGAAGAACCTACCTTCCTAAAACAGGTGACATTTAAATACCTGTACTTCTCCCCCCAAATCTGCTTTACACGTTTTCTTTTCTTTTGTTTTTTCCTTTTCCGAGACAGGGTTTCTCTGTGTAGCCCTGGCTGTCCTGGAACTCACTCTGTAGACCAGGCTAGCCTCGAACTCAGAGATCCGCCTGCTTCTGCCTCCCAAGTGCTGGGATTAAAGGCATGCGCCACCACCGGCCAGCACACGTTTTCTTTTAAAATACTTTATTCCATTTAATTTGTATGTGGGTGGGTGCATGATGCCACGGTACAAGTTGGGTCTCTCGTGCTGGTAGGCTCCAGTTCTCACACTTAGATCAGCCTGGATGGCAGTCCCTGACCCACTGACTATCTTGCCTGCCCCTATTTCTGAGCTCTTGACTCTGCTCCACACTTTCTTAACTGTCCTACGTACGGTAGTCAGCAATTTATACCGGAGTGGGAGACAAAGAAAAACGTAGAAATTTTAAGTTTCAAACCGTCTGAAGGAAACGTGGTGGCTGAGCCTCTTCTCAGATGAGGTGACAATGGGTACCCTTTGTCCTGACAATACACAGGAACTCTCTGCATTCTCTTTCCCTACAACACACTCACCTTGGACTCTTTTTTGTGTCCTCCTGCTAAGAGCTTCATAACCACAAAGTTGGGCTTGGCAACCTTCAGGATTCTACTGACCTGCAACAAGAAGAGCACTCAGCACCTCAGCAGGAAGCTAAGGAAAGCCCAGGAAAGTGCAGCGGCTGCACTGCAGGCGCTCCTCCCCTCCCCCAACCAGGAACCTCCCTCAGTCACTGCCTGCCCTGGGTCAAGAGCACAGAGGTGTTCAGGGAGCCAGGGAGCTGCTTCACCCCTGAGAGCAAAGCTCTTCAGTGAGTTAGTTCCTCACATCCATCCTCTTAGAAACCAAGGTGAGACTCACTCACCCCCATAAAAACTGCTCTCAAGACTGAGTCAATGCACACAGCCTTGTGCTGCGGCGTGCACCGTGGATCCTGCCTCTGCAGTCACACCCCACCAGAACATAATTCTTACAGCTCTTTCTTGCTCTCTTCTCCGAGGCATTCAACTTCCCCTGTGAGCCTAAGGCACTATCATTAATTTTCTTTTAATGGAAGTGATTAGTTCACATAATACCCAGTCTTTTCTGCCAACCTCCAATGGACCTACAACATACTACTCAGTTTTAATGCTTGCTATCTGAATTTCTCTGACCTTGTTGGTGACTGAATTACAGTTGTACTGTTTGCAATTAAAACCAGCTCTGCTGAGTACTCATCTCCACTCATCACTCTCTGTGTGTGCCCATGTGTTCTTCTGCAGTACTAGGACACCCCAGGCTTTGTG